TGGCCTTGTGGCCCTTTGCTTGTGCTCAGTGAGTGTGGTGACGTTGTGATCCACCCTGAGCTTGCTTTGCCTTTCTTGACTGGTCTTGTGACCTCTTGCTCTCCCCCACTTTGCCTATGGGGGTGTGTCAAATGTCATATCTGCTACAGTTTGTTTAGGCTGTAGTGGGATAGTTACTATGGGGTACAGTAAGTTTAGGGTTTCCTACTTGTACCCAACTTTTTCCTAGTGCAATCACTCTTGTTCATTCTGACACGAAATTAGCGAAGAACCAAATTGTCGCCAGACACTAACACCCAACGTCTGTTGCGTGGTACCCTACCAACGAACATTTTTTAACCAATGGAGAGAGGAACCAAACACTTTCCCACCAATCAACACCATTCTTTATCTCCACGTCAACACCTCACCCACCACCTCCAGAACCTTCTCGAACCATTTCTTCTCGACCACTTCTCAACCATTTGTTCTCAACCAGTTTCTCGACCATTTTTCCTTGCTGTTCAATCTCATCCCTCGCCCATTCTCCCTTCTCCAGATCTATCCGCCATAATTTGCTGACGGAATGACGCTCTAATGAGCCTCATGCTGCTTGCTTTCGGTTGAGAACTCCTAAAGCCAATTCTTGTATTATTCATATCTTTTTGTGCCGTCAGACTGTTGGCTGTAGGTACGGTTCAACTATTCATGTCAATTGGGTTCGTCTTACTACCACACAGCGGATGGCGCACATCGTGTTGCATGTTCCGGTACATCGCAGCATGTCTCGCTTTTCCGTTGATTCCACGCTACCACTTTGTATGCTTTTATCGAAGTAGACGCTCTTTTCCAACCCAGCAGGTCTCGCGCGCTTACTACGCAGTGCACAGAATGGATCTGTAAGGTGAGGATTGTCGAACGAATTATATGTGCATTCTATCTTATGTCCTATGCGCAGATGTGTCTCATTACCGTCACCATGCCACGTAATTATATGTCAGATGAAATTGCGTACAGGACAGGTAAGTAGCCAGTAAGTAACCTCTCGTTTCATTTACTTGCAATGTTGACTCCCTTTAATTACCATGTTGCATAACTCCCTTCTTCCCTGTTGTTCTGTTAATCTAACATCAGATTTTGCAGGTATATTGGCTAACATCAGCTTTTGCAGGTACCATGGCCAAGAGGGAAAAAACTACCCCGCCTTTGTTGAGATTTGATGTTTATGTTTTTACGTGTGTTTCAGAACTTCAACCTCAAGTGTTTGACAGGGCAGCAATGTTTGCTTCTGCTGAAGTACCTTCATTTAGATTATTTAGTTGTGCCAGATCATGTTGATTATGGTGTTAGTGCAAATTGTCGGGTCTGATGTATCAAATATATATTTATAGAAATCATAAATTTCTCCATTTTTAACTCAAGAATTTTCACAATTTTTATTGCATGCGCCAATATTCGTCTCGAAATCTGATTGGTCCACGTGACATTTGTCCGTCCACTTATCACCTTGACAGCTGGCAGGAAATATCTTAACACGTGGCCTTCAGACGTCCACGTGGCAAAGGGGTGGCAAAGGGGACTTAAAGCCCAAGACCTTAAGACAAATGTCACTTCCAATGTCACCTTTTAGTTGTGTTGTGTGGTTGCGATATGGCCGCTCTTTCAAAGCTTTGTCGTCACTTTTCCGCAACTTTGGAAGTCGCCCCGCCACACAAGCTTTTGACCTAGACTTTTTTTCTTCGAGACCCAAGTTGCGGAAAAGCAACTTTGAAGTTGCTGACACGCAACTTTTCGGGCCTTGGATTTTCGCGATGAGTGCATTGTGAGAGGTGAGCCAAAGCATTGAAGTTTAGTGGGCATATGGCATTGATGCCCGCGCTATTCGCCGGGTCGATATCGTAGTGAGCTAGTTTGAACGGGTGTATTGTTAGAGAAGACCGGATAGTAAGGGCCGGTTGCGAATAGTGCACGTCAGCCAGAGTGTGCAATCTGACGTTGTAGGTGCTGGACACGGTGGTTAGAGAACCATGAGTCTGATGTTTATTGTTGGAGTCGGAAATTCGCGTCAGATTGTGTTTTCCACTATGACGCATATGTACACCCCCCAGGCAGTGAGGCTGCAAATGTACGTGCTGACGCAGAGGTCAAAGAACGCTGACACGAGCAACGAGGACGACTCCGTTGTGCGGGTTTATCGTGAGGCGCTTGGGCCGGACATGAATGAGCTTGGAAATTGTTTGGTGGAGGCTGGTGTGACAACCACAGAGAACAAGGTACGAACCCGATGATGATAGTTGGTGTTGATGTACAAGAGTGTACTGTTCACTGAAGGACATGAGCATGGTGAGGGGAGTCGACATAATTGTCAATGTGTCTTAACACTGTATACCTTGTGTACGCTGAACGTAGGTGCACACGGCAGTGGCCATTCCGCGAACGCGAGGAGGAGAGCTCGTCGCGAAGGGCACCTTTGTCAAGGCCAGCCCCTTAAGGCGATGGTTCTCTGACGTGGCATTGGCCAGAGACCTTGAAAATAAGGAGTGGTACGCACGATGCATATGCATCTTCCATGCAAAGGGCGCAGATGGGGAGATGGGTGCGTACGCATACGTGAAGTACTATGAGGCGGCGGGGGTGTGCCCCATAACAACATGTCTACCGCTAACCACTGGGAGGGTGGACACGCGCTACTCGGTGGTGGATATGGAGTGCATTAAGCATCTCGTGCATGAGTGCATTAAGCGTGTCGTGCATGTGGAGAAAGACCATAAAGGGTTGGAATGTTAGATTTCGAGTGCTGCATTTCAGGCGGTTCGCAACAAAGACATATGCGACCCGATGTCAGAGTGAAATGTGCTGTCCAAACCACGCGCGCTGGTGGGCGCGGGTGTGAAGCAGGGTGTAGCATCAGAGTCACAATTTTCCTGGAACATTTACGGGGTGTTTGGGGACTTATTGTAAGCTTATTCGTAGAAAAACCTACGACCCCTCAAATTCTAGGCCAGACAAATCCGTGATGTTCGCTCACCAAGCAAACGTCATCGAGCGCAAGCCGCCTCTTGACAGTGGCTGCCGCCTTTTGAGGTGCACTGCCATTCTCGTCGGTCGGATGATGATGTGCTACCAATCGGATGATGATGTGCTGCCGATCGTCTGATGATGTGCTGCCAATCGGCTTCATGTTGTAACAAGCGGCTGGAAAGTTGAAATCGCATATTTATGAGGCGGATCATACGAGTGAAGGCCGACGACGGGTCTTCTGCTGTTGATGGTTGTCAACGGGAGTTGTTGTTGGCCCCGTCCTTGCTTGGGCGGAGCCGACTTCGTGGTTGGGTGTACGGGAGGTACAGCCGACTTGCAGCAGTGGGCGACGCCGACTTGGGCGAGCTGGTCGACGGAGTTGGTTGACTTGCACGAGGCCACTACAATGCCGCCGACTTGGGAAGCCGGCGGCCGACTTCAACTGGTCGTCGGCGAAGTGGCGCGTCGACCTGGAGGTCGCCGACTTCAAGAGGTCGGCCTGGAAGTCGACGCCGACTTGGTGATGCCGACTTCGGGTAGCCGACTTGGGTGGTCGGCTGACATCTACGCTGGTCGACATGGAGCTGGTCGACCAGGAGTGACGTCGACCTGGAGCTGGTCGACCAAGGGTGTGGTAGACCTGGTGAGGCCGACTTGGAGTGGTCGTCGACTTGGGAGGTTGACGGGCACATACAGGAGCAGCTGGTCGACGTGGTTGCCCGGTCGACCAGGTTACCTGGGTGACGAGGCTCTGCGGAAGAGTGCGACAGTCGCCCAGGTGATGTTGGCGAGGCTGACCTCGGGGGTGGTATCCCGAGGTCGACGTGGCGGATCAGGTGGAGTCGTCAGCATGAGGATGACACGGTGTGTGCGTTGTGCAGGTGACGAGGCTTAGCCTGCCAATCATCTGCGAGCACCTGCGAAGTAGGTGCGCTGCTGTTCTGCGGGAGCAACGCTGGCACGCCGACAACCTGCAGCGTTGGCACGCCGTCGACTTTGCATCGCTAGAGCACGGTCGACCAAGTCGTGCTTGAACGCGGTCGACCATGCTGCGCTGGCAGTCGACCGACCTGAATGCTAGCTCTGATGTAGTCTTGTCCTGCCAACTTCAATGTACCATTATTGTCAACTTTCTCTAGTGAAACTCTTACCAAATTGCCTCGTGACCTAGCAAGCAGTGTGTGCACTAAGAAAACGACTAAGGAACAGAGAACGCAGAGATCACACGAGCATCCGTGCCTAGCCCGTAGTCTAGCTCCCGTTGTAGTAGTTATCTCCGCACTGGTGGCGGCTGGGCGACCGACAGTGAGGCCAGAGGTCCATGACACTCAGATAAGGTACGAGATGCACCGTGTGGAAGGTGGACAGAAGAAGGACAAGTATCTCTCTTGGATGTACCCACTGATGTACCCACTAATGTACACGCTGATGTACCCAGTGATGTACCCACCGATGTACCCGCTGATGTACCCACCGATGTACCCGCTGATGTACCCACCGATGTACCCGCTGATGTACCCACCGATGTAGCCACTGATGTACCCACTAATGTACCCACCGATGTACCCGCTGATGTACCCAATGATGTACCCACTGATGTACCCACTGATGTACCCACTGATGTACTCGCGGATGTAATGTCAGTCCATCCGAAGCCACACGAGCAGCAGGTGTGCTCAAGTGCCACTCCTGCACAGCCGTGTGAAGGTGGGGATCAGGTTTGTACTTCCACTGCGGCTGCGACTCTTCACCAGCAACTCCCACCTGGACGCCATCCAGCAACTCCCACCTGGACGCCATCCAGCAACTCCCACCTGGATGCCATCCAGCAACTCCCACTTGGACGCCATCTAGCAACTCCCACCTGGACGCCATCCAGCAACTCAACCGCCCCCTAACCACCATCGCTAATGAGTGACTCGAGACATGCCTAGACGAAACTACCCCACACCACCCTCTGCACCGACTCTCACCTTGGCGATTCCAACCGCTACCCACCCATGACACCCCACACTTCCTCTATCGCCTCCTCCAGTCCCAGCAGAAACTCTTTCACCCCCTTCCTTCACCCCCTTCCTTCACCCCATTCCTTCACCCCCTTCCTTCACCCCCTTCCTTCACCCCATTCCTTCACCCCCTTCCTTCACCCCCTTCCTTCACCTCCTTCCTTCACCCCCTTCCTTCACCCTCTTCCTTCACCTCCTTCCTTCACCCCCTTCCTTCACCCCCTTCCTTCACCTCCTTCCTTCACCCCCTTCCTGCACCTCCTTCCTTCACCTCCTTCCTTTGCCCCCTGTCCTTCACCCCCCTTCACCCCCTTTCACCCCTTGCTGAGTGACTCTCACACGCAGCTCTACCTCATAAAGACCCCTCACCGACTCTCACGCACTACCCCTCCCATCGCCAGCTCTCATGCACTACCCCTCCCATCGCCCTTGGTAACGCCAAACGTGGCCTGGATGGCCTCCGCAAGCCCCATCAGCAACCCCCATATCAACCCCCTTTAACCGCTCTTCACTTCCCCCTCATCCTTCGCCACGCTCTCTCTCTGCCACAGCCCCAAGCGCCATCAATGCCGACTGCGCTGCTTGGAGTATTCATTGGTTGCCTTGTCACCTGCCGTGGCGCCTGTTGCGGTCGGAAGCCCCTACTCCCACTCAGATGGTCCTTGATATTTGTCATGGACAGTGGGTACATCAGTGGATACATCAGTGGTACATCAGTGGTTACATCAGTGGGTACATCAGTGGGTATAATAGCTGGTGGTGGGTATGCGCGTGTGAGTTTGAGAGTCGGTGAGTGTTGTCTGTAGGGTAGGGGTGTGCGAGAATAACTCAAGCAAGCAGAGAAGGAGGGTGAAGAGGATTGAAGCGGGTGAAGAGAGAGTGAAGCCTGAAGGGGGGGTGTAGGGGGGTTGAAGGGGGGGTGTAAGGGGGTTGAAGAGGGTTGTTGTTGGGGCACGCGACGTCGTAAGGGTGCATGGGGTGTTATTGATGCGTGGCAGGGGGGGGAGGGGGGGGGGGGGGGGGTGTACTAGCTGGAGATGGTCCGGATGAGAGTCGGTGCGGGGTGGGGAAGATGTATGCCGAGATCACTTCAGTCACTCGTAGGTGACGGTGGGAAGGGGGGGTTGTTGGATAGCTGAGTATCGCCCAGGTAGGAGTACGTGAGGAGTGGATTCGGGGATGGCTGTGAGAGTGAGTGGAGGGAGGTGATGGGTAGGCCAGGTGGGAGCTGCTGGATGGCGCCCAGGTGGGAGCTGCTATTGGGGAGTCGCAGTGGAGTGGAGTTGCTGCGAGTGGAGTCTCTACGAGTGGCTGCAGAATGGCTGTGAGTGAGAGCAGGGAGGTGATGGGCAGGTCAGGTGAGTGGAGATTGTTGTTGCAGCCAAGAATGACATCCTCATTCCCTTTGATCCCCCCTGCAACTCCCTCCCTTCCCCTCCCCCCAGTTCCTGATATCCTCTTCACCCATAGTTCCCACTCACATTCCTCCTCGTCCCATCCATTCAACTGCACATTTGTCTGTTCCACACCACACGGGCATGTGAGCCCCTCACATGTGCACCTACTGCACGTGTGCATCACTCACCAGGTCACTGCCCTTCCCCTCCTTTTTTCCTTTCTCCTTGTCATCTTTTCCCTTTCTCCTCCTCCCTCCAGCTCCAGCCAGTGTCTGCCCACGCCAGTGTCTGCCCACTCCCACCCCTATGGTGCCGGCACACTGCTTTCACCCACGCACTCTCCCTTTCCACCTCTCCCTTCTACCTCCCCTTTCCACCTTCCCCAGTCCTAGATTAGCATTCACACTTCCGCGAACAGGAACTGCGGGAATGGCGTTTGTGTTCGCTAGCACTTGGGTTCACAGTGCGCACCACCAAGCCCGTTCCCTTGCGCACTGTGCATTCTTGCCTGTGCACGGCATGCATGCTGTACACTGTTTACGAGGAACCTGTGGGGTACTGAGTGCACTCCCTGCCATGCCTGCATTGCACTGCACCCTTCCTTCAACACCTATTACCCTCTCCCTTCCCCCTCCACCCCTCTCCTCCACCAACGCAGCACCTGCTTTTCCCACACCGACGTCTACCCCACTGACTCCCCTTCTATGGCACGGGGGCATGGTTCACTCCACAGCAGTGTGGTCGGGGGTGTGTATGCTAATCGTGCATCACTAGAGGGTTAGTGGTGTGCCGCAAGGCCAGGGGAGGCTGCAGGGATGGCTGCTGGATGGAGGCGGCTGCAGGGGTGGCAGCTGGAGTAGCTGCTGGGGTGGCTGCTGGGGTGGCTGCTGGGGTGGTGGCTGGGGTGGCTGCTGGGGTGGCGGCTGGGGTGGCTGCTGGGGTGGCTGCTGGGGTCCCGGCTGGGGTGCCTGCTGGGGTGGCTGCTGGGGTGGCTGCTGGAGTGGCGGCTGGGTGCCCCTTGGCCGTGTCCTTCCTCAAGGAGGAACAAGCTGTGGGATGAGCGGAGGGAGGAGGTGAATGTATGGTGAGCTAGGTACGGATCACCAGCAGTCCACTAATAGCAACGCAAGTCAGGACAGTATGAGTCTAGGAGACAAGTCAGGGCAGAATGAGTGTAGGAGACAAGTCAGGCCAGAATGAGTGTAGGAGACAAGTCAGGGAAGAATGAGTCTAGGATATCAAGGGCCTCGTGTATCTGCCTCTCTGCCAGGCACACGGTCATTCTATCCGGGATCTGCAGCTGATTGGCCTTCTACAAGGAAGCTTCCTTGTCGTCCTCATAGATGGAGCGCTCGGGGTGGGCGAGGGAGTGGATGAGCGTGGACTGTGTATTGAGTAGTGAGCGCACGTTGCGCAGATCGCCCTCTAGCTCCGATATCTCCTTTGCTGTGCTGCGGACGTGGTACAACGAGGTAGCATTGAGTGGAGTGGAGAGGGGTGGAGAGGATTGGAGTCAAGTGGAATGGGGTGGAGTGTGCAGTAGTTTGCAGTGCATTCGATGTGAGATAGGCGGGTAGGGCGATTAGGATATGGAAGTGGGAACGAAATGGGAGTAGAAATAGCAATGATGAAGTTGCTAGACTTCGCACATTCTTCAGCGCTCCTTGTGGGTCAAAGCAAAGCATACCATCACATTCTCGCTCGCTGCATAACGACTGATATGAGGTCTTAAGAATGCAGCGTGCCCTGCCAGATGAGCGACTGATTTCCGCACGTGTTAGTTTTGGGGACAGGGATGGACGGGCATACCGGATGAAGGAATTGTTGACATACACGCTCATGCGCATCTCCTCCGCGGACGCGCGCTTTAACTCCACCATCTCCGCGCAAAGCTTCCGCAGCGACTGTGAATTCAAAGGCGGCGTGAATTTAACGTTTGAACAAGACACGTGATTGAGACTTGTGAGCTACAAATGAGACTTCCTCAGTTCACGGAAAATGCTAAAATGCGCTCCAGGCTTCTCGTTCATGGATTTGCACTTTACGTGCCACGCACCTTCGCACTCATGGTTTCACATTTCGCGTTTAGCCAGGCTATAATCGTTTCACAGTGGTTCAGGTCAGGTAGCTGCTGTGTTGTGTGACTGTCGGTCACTTACCCACCCGTCGGTCCTCTGGAACCACCATCTAGGGCACCCGTCCTTCCCGCGTCTTAGTAGGATGGTATGCCACTGTCTGGTCTCAGGTCTCCCAGAGTCGCTCGCTCCGCTCCCCCGCTCGCCTGCGCCGTCGTGCACTCCTTGTGTCGAGGGACAGCAGCACACCACCCTTTACTCCTCCTCGTCCCCCCCCACCACGGCTCCGTTACAGACCCTGCACTTGGACGTCTGGGGCCCTTCCTCGGTCCTTGGCCCACGTCAGGGGCGCTACTTCCTGATTGTGGTCGTCGACCATTCCCGCTACACCACGGTTTTCCCCTTGCGACGGAAGGCCGACGTGCCTACCGTCCTCGAGCCGTGGCTACTAGATGGCGCCCAGGGCCTTTGTGGGCTCCGCCTACACTCGGACCGTGGTGGTGAGTTTTCTTCCACTCGCCTAGAGACGTTCAGTCAGGGTCGGGGAATCATCCAGTCTTACATGCTACCAGACTCGCTAGATCATCACGGCCGAGCAACGCATCGGCCTGGTCATGGAGGTTGCCTGGACCTCCATGTGCCATGCTGGTGCCTCCCAGTTGCTGTGGCCTTAGGCAGTCCACTACGCTGTGCACCAGCTGAATTTGTGGCGTAGTGACGCACGGCCACGGGTGACGCCGATCTCCCTTTGCACATGTTCTCCAAGCGTAGCAGCCGTCTACCACGTTTGAGGTTCCTTGGCCCACGTTTGCGCCCGTAGCTTGAACAAGTTGTCTGCAAGCATCCGTGCCTGCGTCTTTCTTGGCTTCCCACTCGACGCCTCAGGCTGGTAGTTCTACAACCCAATCACCCACCAGTTCTTTGCCTCTTAGGACGTCACCTTTGACAAGTCGGTCAGTTACTACAGGAGTCACCCCCATCGAGGTTCTGAGGCCTTCCCCCCCCTACTATGCCTCACCCCTAAGCCCCCCCCCCCCCCGGTAGCTCCCCCCCCTTCGCGGCCTGCCCCGTCAGGTGTGTCGCACGTCACTCCGAAGTCGTCTCCCTCACAACGTCCTATCCCTGTCGTGTCTGGGGGTGCGGGAGGTGCGGCTGCGGAGGGTGGGGGTACTGGGGCTGCTAGACGTGGTGGTGATGGCTTTGGGGGTGCAGGGGTTGTGAGGGTGGAGAGCTTTCCTGTGGAGGACACAACTGTCTCGACCTGGCGGTCTAGCCCCGCCTCACCCCCTGGCTTCCCGTCTATCCCACAGTTTCCTCCTCGTTCGTCTTTGCGGCTGGTAGCTGCGGAGCCTGGGGGTGTTCCTGCGGGAGGTACTGGAGGCACCGGGGGTGTTGTTGTAGGAGGTTCTTGATCTGGGGTGCTGGAGCTGCAGACACGGGCACTGTGACACCTACACCATGCACTGTACGTTTCCTGACCCGTGTGCAGCGTCTAGACCAGTTGGAGAGGGAGGAGAGGGAGCGGTTTGAGAGAGCACGACAGCAGCAGCAGTCTCAATCGGAGCGTCAAGAGAGAGTAGAGGAGTCACAGCCGCACCAGGAGAGAGTAGAGGAATAGTCACGGCAGCAACAGCAGCACTAGCACCAGCAGCAGTCTCAGTCGGAGCGTCAGGAGGGAGTAGAGGAGGAGTCACTGCCACAGCAGGATGGAGTAGAGGAGGAGTTACGACTGCAGTTGCAGCCGCAGCAGGAGAGAGTAGAGGAGGAGTCACGCCTGCTGCAGCAGGTGCAATTGTATCCACAGCCAGAGAGAGTAGATCAGGAGTTGCTGCAGCCACAGCAGGAGAGAATAAAGGAGGAGCCACAGGCGCCGCAAGGGGGCAGGAGCCGCAATAGCATTCGCCGGAGGAGGCGGAGCAGCAGTGACTTAGAGACCTGCCCGACTCAGCACATGCACACTCTATTCGTGGTCCCCTACCATCCCCTCCCATTCCCCTTGTCGAGTCCCTTTCTTTGTCCAAGTGGACTCTTCGTTCTCCCCTCAGTCATGCTGTGTCCCCAGAGCCTCGTCGGTCCCATTACCGTGTAGGCGGTCCGTTCCACCTTGTTCTCCACTGCCGTGTTCCGTCTCCTCCTATCCTTACATGACCCGTTGTCCGACTACCTCTGTGCCTCTCGCCCTGTCTTCTCCCGTGTTCTGTCCACATTGGTTACTCACCCGACTGCCCCTCTGCTGTCTGTCTCGGCCATTGTCACTACTGTCAGTGCCATTGCCTCTTCCCACCGCCTTGATTATGCCGCTCACCTTGTGCGTGGCACTGCTCATTCTCCGTGCTCTGAAGGTGCTCCTGTCTTTCCCCTGGAGGTCCTGGAGGACAGGCAGTTCGAGCTTGGTTTACTTGCGGTCGCTGTTCCTCATCTCTGCACCATGCTGCTTGCCCCTAAGGGGTATCCAGATGCCCTTGACATCCCGATCCCTCGCACTCACGCTGAGGCGGTCTCGGGACCCTAGGCTTCGAATTGGAAAGCAACTGAGGAGGCAGAGATGGCATCTTATAGGTCCACAGGCACCTACGTCATCGCCGTCCCACCATCTGGGGTGAACGTTGTCAATGGCATGTGGCTCTACAAGGTGAAGCGGCCGCCTGGAGCACCACCGGTGTTCAAGGCGCGATACGTGGCGAGAGGCTTCAGTCAGCGAGAGGGGGTAGACTTCTTCCAGACCTTCATTCCCACCCTGAAGGTGACCACTCTTCGGGTGTTGCTGCATATTGCAGCACAATGCGACTACGAAATGTTCTCCTTGAACTTCTTCGCCATGTTCCTTTAGGAAAGCCTGCATGAACAGATCTGGTTGCGTTGTCCGCCTTGCTTCACTAGGAGCATCGACCGATCTACGGCCTGTGCCAGGCTTCCCGCGAGTATCACGACACACTACGTACGACTCTTGCAGCGCTTGATTTCTATCCGTCGTCTATCGACCCGTTGCTGTTCGTCTACCGTCCGTCGTAGAGTCAATGTTAAAGACCTGGTCTTTGCCACTCCCGACCGACACGCACTTGTTGTAATCACAGTAGGCTTGAATGTGCCTTAAACGAGAGATAGAGTGAATAGTCGAATTTCTGCACAGCAGCTTTAAATGTTTATAGCGTTCTGGTCACAGCTTCAAATGACTTGATTGAACTTGGATCTGGAGCGTCGTAAAGTCGCCTACACATGCAATTTAGATCACACGATTTCATTTAGAATTGACGACACAGCGTTGGTTTGAACGAACGGCACTATGGGAGACACTATTGTCTTAGAACACAAATTAGGAAGAGTTACAAGTTGGGAATGACTCCCAGCTCCTACAAACCCCAAGAGCCGAGGTACAGTGATGTGGAAGAGTGCCACACTGTCCCCAACCACGAAGGGTCTCGAAACTACCCTTCACAAGGGCCTACACCAAGTGAAATGTTACACTACACAACATAATGTAACTATTATCAAAATCTTGAGATGCTACCCTTTTCGCGGGCTTCGCGATCACTTGAATCTTGACACCAAGGCTCTGGCTCTTCAGCATAAACTCATCCTTGAGTTCTTGATGGGTCTGCTGCACGCACCTGCGACAAGCCGAACGTTCCACACGCGACAGAATAGAAACCGCGCGACACACACAATCGACAAAATAGAAACCGCGCGAGACACACAAACGACGACATAGACACGCGACTAGCGATGACTCGCTATTGACCCGACACACACACATTCGTTATCACGACTCATCATTCACACACTATTATAAGCATGAAAAATATATTATTCTCATGCACTCAAACCATTCCATGCACACACGCATGCACGCACACGGACAACAAGCCGAGTGCAAATCGTATGGCCACCAACAAATTCACCCTCAGATTGTTGGCCTTAGGATCTGCTCCTCTTAGTTCAGAGCCATCCCAGCCAGCTTGCAGCACTTCCAATGCTGCTGCTCCAC